AAAAATGTTCTGAAACAAGCCACAAAGCAGCAGCACTTCCCAAGCAATCTGGTCCAAAAATGGGCCATTGATACATTTCCCAGTCTCTGAACCGTGAGTGATCATAAATAGCTTTCTTCTATCCACATCTGTCTTAAATACATTTGGAAATTGATGTAAATGTTGTTCAGGGAGCAAGAGGTCTGTAGGCATAAACAGCTGTTTGCTGAGCTGCACAAGAAATATTTGAGCAAAGTCCTGCTATCTGACTGCCAGATGTTTTTCATTTATACACAGCCATTACAGATTGCAGGATGATGTGGCAAAGAAAAAAGAAACAGGGGGTGGGGGAGCGAGATTAATAGTTCACAGCTAAGCTGGGTCACTGTGCAGGGCCTGGTGTTCATATGTCTTGCTGGACCACTTCCATGAATTAGAAGAGAGTGACACTGAATTACTGTGGTTGCACTCGTGCCTGCAGAATTGGTTTCAGTGGAGGGCATTGGGTGACTATACCTCATTCTCTGGCTGTTAAGCTGAGGGGTACAGGAGAGGATCCATTCTGTCCCCAGTGCTGCTCAATATCTGCATGAAGCCATTGGGAGCAGTCAGTAGAGGATTTGGGGTGTGGTATCATCACAAGTCTGATGACACACAGCTCTGTTTCTCTGTATCGCTCAATCAGGTGTGGCCATGCTTGGACACTGTGGTGGGCTGGATGAGGGCTAATGAGTTGAAGCTGAATCATAACAAGCTGGATGTTCTAGGAGTAGGTGGCTTTCATGCACTGGAATCAAGCAGTTTACCTGTTCTGGACAAGGTTGCATTCTTCTTTAAAGAGCAGGGTTGTAGTTGGGGCTGCTCACTGGGCAATGGTTGACACTGGGGCGAGGGGGTGTTGCTTGCAAAGGTCAGAAGATGATAGGCTATGCTTAAGACCAAGTTTGCCAGGCTTGATATTCAGCAGGAAATGGATGACAGCCTTTTTGAGCTGTCAGACGAAACTGATGAGACCAACAAAGTGTGGGTTGGTTCTAAGACACAGAAAGGTGGGAACCTGACAAGCCCATTAGATAAGCAGGGAAACTGGTGAATATATCTTTAAAAGAAGGAATGCAGCAGTGGAGGATTGGGCATCTGCTTTGGAACCAGTGGAGGCGAAAACTGAAGTCATTTTGGATCAAATTGTGGGAGGAATCGGGGGGGGGGGGGGAATCAGTCTGAATTGCAGTTCTAAGAATTGTGATGGAAGACCTGTTAATGGCTTGGGATCAGTAGTCAAGAGATCAAGGGTAGAAAGTGTGCAAAAGAGGGAGCATCCTGACAATTTGCTTTCTGCAGGAGGACCACCAGCAACCGAACCCTGAATTCCATTTACTGTAGGGTGTGTGGACAGGAAAACAGCTGTGCACACCCGGTTCCTCAAAATTGAGAGGAGTGACTATTCCAATGACTTGGAAATGGCCCTACATATTTGATGCTTCCCTGTCTGACCTGAATGGCAGATTCCTCCTAGACAAAGGTTCCGTTGGTTCTTAGACATCATTGTTGGAGTGCTTCTATGCTTCTAATCCAGGACAGTATGGCTTCTTTCAAACTTTTTTTGGACACTTGGCAAAACTTCAAAACCTATGGGTTAATATGATAGCTACTTTTTGAGGTCATGACCTGTGGGTGATGTTTTCTGCCATTTTTAAAATTTATTTTTTACTATTGAACCACAGGTCACATTTTCAGCCACTTTTCAGGGCCTCCTGAATATATTTGTTCATCTAGATCTTTGTGATTTCCTGATTCCTGACTATTGAGAACTGTTCTGGAAACTAACTTTATGGTTGCATTTTAATTTGTGTTTATTAAAATGTTAGCTTACTGGTTTTGCTTATTGATTCTCTTTTAAGGTTGTAATCTGCCTTGCAATCAATATGGAAAGTGGCTTAACAATAAATAAATGCAATTTATAAATAAATAATAAATAAATGGCATACCTTGAGTAAAGAGTACAAAGGGCTACAGTGGAAAGAGTAGTTAGTTCCACTTTAGCATAATGTCTTCTCATAATAGGCACTATTCAAGATACATGATGAGAAAAATGAATGCTCAGGCATGTTTTTGAAAGTGTGCCAACCACTCTGCCTCAGGCATTAGGTCCAATTTACATCCAACTGAATTCAGTAAAAGAGTTTCCATTGAGTTCAATGGGGATAGATGGCACGCATCCAATTTTCGCCTAAGTTTTGGTTCCTTTTGATGGAATAAACAGATTCCTGGGACGAACACACTGAGCCAGAATAATTAATACTGGCTTGTATTCAGTGTAGCACTAAGTAGCGCATTCCGATGGTGCAAAGATTTATGCTTATACACAAAATTTTACCCCCCTTTCCTCTCCCCAGGTGCCCCCTAAATCTCCTCTGGGTTTCCCCCCAATCATCCACATCAGATTTGAGAAGGGTAACAGAGTGTGCATGGGGAGGGGAGGGGTGAAATCATAAACCCTTGTGCTAATGGAACAATTACACTGGATGCTACCCATTGTTCAGTAGTGCATTTGCTATGGGGGAGAAGCTCAGTCAGTTTTGTAGCAGAACTCATTCTCCATAACATTAACACAATGAAACTTTCTGCTTTTCAAAACAGATCCCACATTATGGAGCACAGACCACGTACGCCAGTGGTTGGAATGGGCAGTCAAAGAATATGGCCTGCCAGATGTGGACATTGTGCTGTTTCAGAATATTGATGGGAAGGAATTGTGTAAGATGACCAAAGATGACTTCCAGAGGCTAACACCAAGCTATAATGCAGACATTCTTCTCTCACACTTACACTACCTCAGAGAGAGTAAGAACCTTTTCTTTGTTGATGGCTTCCCCCCCCCAAAAAAAACAACGTTTTGTCCACTGCAATTTCTACTGTAATGCTTATTTCAGATTTCTCTTTCAAATGCTATGCTCACAGCGTTCTTTAAGCAGAGTTCAAATCAGGGAAATTTTAACCATTTTAGATATTACCAAAAATCAGTTCAAACATAATCTATATTAAAAAAAATGTAATGTTTTTTCTGGTCACATGCATTTCCTTTTTTCCATTACTGAAATGATCATTCTAAATGAGATTATATACATAATAATTTGAAAAGAAATTCCAGGCATGATTTTAAATGTGTGTGCACAAAGGAGCAGTTTATAAGACTCTCGCAGAAATAGGGCTTGTATGATGTTAGGGTGAACAAAAGAGTCCCCTGAATATAGATAAAATTAAACTTATAAGCAGCATTCAAAGATGAGAGGAGGAGGAAGCGAATTTGTTATCTGTGGTATAGACAATGCTGCATAACTGAATAATAAAATGTCAAAGAACAATTTCTGTTTTTAAAAATCAGGCAGTGCAACACCAATATGACATTGTTTTTCACAGGCTTTCTAGTTGTCCGTATTTTCTACAATATTCTTAATTAAAGCCCTGCTTCCAGCATTATTATAAACCCACTCCCACAAAGAGCAGAATGAATTGATGCTAGACTGACCAATAAACAATCCTATCAGGATAAAAGAAAATGGTTATTAAGATAATTCTGAATATATATTTTTAAAATTTTGGTGTTGCTTTTTGTTTTGTAGCTCCTCTTCCACATTTGACTTCAGATGATGTTGATAAGGCCTTACAAAACTCTCCACGGTTAATGCATGCTAGAAATACAGGTAATGCTGTCACGATTCCCCTCCCTATAGGCCATTTTTTTAAAGTTAAGGTTATCTATGTGACAAATGCATGCTAACTGTAAATTAAGAAAGAAAGGCAGGGTTTAAGAGTGTAATATGCTTCCTAGTATTGGTGGGAATTGCTTTCTCTCTCTCTTGCTCACACACACACACACACACACACACACACACGCCATACACAGATAAACCATTTAGGCTCAGATACAGTAATTGATTTGGATGAAGCTCTTCATGAGTTCTCTTAGAAGGAAATATGGCCTCTGAGAAAGAGAATATTCATGTACCTACATCCTTTTTTATGTGCATGAACACACACATGCAAGCACTCAGATAATACTCTCACTATTGCTTCTCATCCCAAGAGTGAAACATAAAAAAGAAGAAGAGCAGACACGTGTAGCCCAGCTGTGCCATTTCCTGTGGGAGATTGTTTGTTTGGTCTCCCTTGCTTGGAAAAAAGCGCCCATTTAAAGTAGCATGTTAGAGATAAGAGAGCACTAGCCTAGTCTGCTCCCTAATCTTCAAAATTTCTGTGTATGGGAGATCTCTATAAATCTATTATGCAATTGAACAACTTAATGAGAGAAGAGTGAAACAGGTCGTCTGAACAAACAGCCATGGTGTACCTCTCAAGCACTTTTGAAAGCATAGCCTGTATCCAAGTAGAGCATAATTTAAATGTAGGGATCTGCATTCAGTGTCTTTGATCAACTGATGCAGGTCTCTTGGTTTCCTGTAGCAGGAACAAATGTGTGCTGTATTGAGCTGCCCATCCAAAAGAGGGCTCTTTTAAATATGGCACACCACATATGGAATGCCCTTACTTAGGATGCCCACCTTGCAGCTGCACTGCCATCATTTCAGAGCCAGGTGAAAGTTGTTGTTCTTTCATTCTCCCAGGCCTTCTATGTATTTTCAGGCATTTGTGCCACTGCTAGTTTTTGGAGGTTTTGGCTCCCTCATTTGTTATTTACTGATTCATTTTGTTGCATTGATGCTGTTTTTATTGATTTTTTTTAATGATAAATCATTTTTATTTGTAGCTGATTGATGGCCTCCCTGATAGCATCACTGCTGAAGGTGCAAGATATAGATGTTAAAATAAATATATCTTGCAAGAAACACTGAACTCCTCAGTTGCCTATATCCCAAAGGATATAATGGAAGGAAAGTACAGGGAATCATGCTACACAAGAAGCTGCCTTATAGAGAGTCAGACCAGTGGTCCACCCACCTCAGTGTTGTATATGCTGATGGGAGTAGCAGCTTCCCAGGGTTTCATATAATAATTATTTCCCAAGCCTGCCTGGAATGAACCTGAGACCTTCTGCATGCAAAGCAGATACTCTGCCACTGAGCTATGGCCCTTCAATGAGCTATGGCACCACTCTGTTCCCAAACCATGTTCATACTGATGTAAGGACAGGGAACAAGCACCAGGGAAGCAGCCCATCTCCCCACTCTTGCAGAAGACCAAGAAGCATGGAAGGAATAAGTGTTAGTCCTTCACCTTCTGTTCTCTTATCACTTGTATGCCTCATATAGAGGCATCTTGTGCCAATTTTGTGGTTTGAGTTAGGTACCAGGCCACAATTTGGCCAGGATCTACTTTGTAGCTCATCAGATCAGGTTATAACTTGGTGGGAAAGAAACTTCCCATTGGTTCTCTGTTTCTAGAAGTAAATTTGGTTCGTATGTGGGTTATAGGTAAGGAAACTAAAATCAAGCTCTTGAAATTGTGCATCAGAAGACAATGTAGATGTATGGAATTTCTGTATCTTTAATTTGATTAAATAAAAGTTTGGGATATCTCATTATCATGCCTGTGGGTTTTGATGACTTATAGTGACCAGAAATAACAACTCTATAAGGAATAGAAAGTCTCTTTTCTCTCTTGACAATGTTAGAAACTAATAGGGATTTTTCACTGTGATATTGTTCTTGTTACATCTGTATCTTCCCTATCTTCCACAATGGAACTCAAGGCAATGTATGTAGGGTTTCCCGAAGGTCTCACATCTAGGCACTAATTAATATGCTTGATACAATTTTAAATAAATTGATATCACAACCCCCCTCTTTTGCTGTACACAAATGTCATCTTAGAACAGACATGATGTGCCATTCGCCTCACTGTATATTTTTTTTAACACTCAGCTATACATACCTCTGATTTTTTTTAAGTAATATGGGAAGCAAGCCCTGTTGTGCACTGCTGTTCTGTACTTCTGTTTTGCTATTAAATTTGTTGTTTTGTGGTTTTATTTTATAATTATAATTGCACACTGTACCTTTTTTAATTGTGATATATTTGTAACCTGCCCTTGGAACCATTTGACGAAGGGTGGGCTATGAGAACATATACATATACATATGGATTTTCCAGTATCCCTCTTTGTTCATTTTATTTATTCAGTTTATAGCTCACTTTTCCTCCAAAAAGTTTTGAGTACTGTATGTGATTCTTTCCCACTCCTCCTTTTTTATTTGAATCTGGGTCTCCATGGTCCTAGTCCAAAACTGAAACCACTACACTGTACATTCTACATGTAAAAGGAATAATAAGGACCTTGTATATTCCTTCCAACTCTACTTTCTTGTTGTTCACCTATTAGAATACTAATTTATCCAAGTCCATCTGACCCTGAAAAAAGTTTACCTTGGGTACAGCAGTTATATGTATTAAGTGATGGTTCTGTGGCTATATATGGCTTACCAGGCTTCCTCATTCTCCCTGAGAATAACCAGCTCATAGTGAGTTACTTCATGCAATAACTAGGGATATGCAGGGTGGGAAAAATAATTGATATGCCTGATAAACCTAACACTGACTTCCACAAAGACTGAATAAAAAAACAAAACAAAACAAAAAAGCTTCTAATTAAATCAGTTGAAATGTTACTACAGTGTCTTCTAATTGGAAAATATGAATATTTTTCTTTCAATGTACTGTCCTGATTTTAGCTGAATACCTGATAGATCAGATGCCTTATCATAGTCCAACTCCAATGCACATATAGCCATAAGTTTTGTTCCAATACATACTGAAATGCAAAGTTATCCTTATTTCCGTTTTCTTCTTGTATCTAGGAGGTGCAGCTTTTATCTTCCCGAACACTTCAGTTTACCCTGAAACTGCACAAAGAATTACCACCAGGCCAGGTATGCAAATACACCATCCTATTTTCTCTGTCTGTCTGTCTGTCTGTCTGTCTATCTTTTTAAAGTGCTACAGTCTGGCTGGCTGTTCTTCCTATCCTGCTCTTTCCTCTTACACAGAAAACTAGTATTAGATATAAGACATATATAATTGTATAGAAGATCCCTCAATTATACGTGTTTGGGCATCTGATTGAGCATGCAAATGCTGTTCTCTGTGGACAGGAGGCAGAGGTGCACAAACAAACCCCATCCCTGGTGTCTCCATGCATGTTGGCTACCCATGGTCAATTTTTATTAAACAGGGAGGTTCTGCAGGAGGTGCTTACTCACATGAGTAGAATGTCTGGCCCAATCAGGGACTGGTTCCCAATCATGCAGAAGGTTTTATTTTAAGGTTTGGGTTAAAATAGCCACAGGTGTTGGATAGCCCAAGGCCACGAAAACACTAGACAGGAATAAAAGGAGAACGTGTTTTAGCACTGTTTGTAAACTATTGTGCAAGTGCTGGGGGAGGGGATCCATCTCCAATCTAGCAAGTGCTATCATACTACCAACCTTATTGTATGCTTGTGAAACATGGACCACTTATAAACACCATCTCCAACTCCTTGAAAGATTCCATCAATGGTGTCTTAGAAAATTTTTACATATCACTTGGGACGAAGAGTTTGGATTTGATAGCCCACTTGATCACTACCCTAAGGAGTCTCAAAGCGGCTAGCAATCTCCTTTCCCTTCCTCCCCTACAACAAACACTCTGTGAGGTGAGTGGGGCTGAGAGACTTCAAAGAAGTGTGACTAGCCCAAGGTCATCCAGCAGCTGCATGTGGAGGAGCAGAGATGCGAAGCCGGTTCACCAGATTACGAGTCTACCACTCTTAAACACTACACCACACTGGCTCTCTAAGACAGGTGAAATAATGCCAGTGTAGTGAAAGAAGCAAAAATCACCAGTGTCGAAGCAGTGATTCTTCAATATCAACTTCATTGGACTGGTCATGTTGTTTGGATGCCTGATTATCGTCTTCCAAAGCAACTACTCTATTCTGAACTTAGAAATGGAAAACATAATGCTGGTGGTCAACAAAAGAGGTTTAAAGACTCTCTCAAAGCAAATCTTTTAAAATGTAGTGTAAACACTGGCAATTGGAAAACACTGGTCTGTGAGCGCTCCAATTGGATTTTCTTTACCAAAGGTGTCATGGACTTTGAAGACGCTCAAACTCAGGGCGAAAAGGAGAAATGTGCTAAGAGGAAGGCACGCTTGGCAGACCTTCATCGTGATCAACTCCTGCCTGGAAACCTATGTCCCCACTGTAGAAGGACGTGTGGATCCAGAATTAGCCTCCACAGTCACTTATGGACTCACTGTTAAGACCGTGTTCATGGAAAACAATCTTACTCGGCTATGAGTGATCGCCAAAGAAGAAGAAGAATGTTTTTAGTTGCTGCAAGAAATTCTACCATACAAATCTATACATGTTTGTAATGTAGGAAAGGAAGAAAAGATTCATAATTGTCTATCTGGTGGCAATTGCATGTTTTTAATTCATAACTGTGAGCAAGATGTGTGTGCACATAAAGAATTTTGAATTTTCTTAAGAATAGCATAGGAGCCAACTCCTAGGGGCTGAGAGGGCTTCCCCCCCCCAATAAAAGGCGATGGGCATTGCCATTCAAATGGTGTAAATGCACCGTGTCATGTGATTATGTGGGGCAGGCCTTACTCCCCCCCCCCCCGTATTTCATTCAAGGTGGCACCCCTGGGACATAGATACAGAGCCTGCAGCTCCCTGGATATTGATACCCATCATTCCCAACTATAAACCATGCTGGCTGGGACTTCTGGAAATTAGAATTGGAATCCAACAACATCTGGAGGGCCACTGGTTCCGCATATGAAATTATTTTGCAGAGTGGCGATTAGACAGATCATTGCAGGAGTGATTTTGATTTTAGATTTCCTGCAGTGCAGCTATCAACCATGTTGAATAGTGTGTCATCAGGAAAATTACGTATTTCAGAAACAATCATACATGGAGAAATTTGACCTTTGGTAGTTCTTTCTAGCTCAAATATATTTGAGATAATTTCTTTTTTACACAGATATACCTTATGAACAGGCCAGGAGGTCAGCCTGGACAAGCCACAGTCATCCTGCTCCCCAGTCGAAAGGTAAAGTATCTTCTTTTTCTTTCATAACAGATAACATTACCTGGAAATGCCATAGCTGCTTCAGAAGAATTTGATTCTGACAATTAAATTTCAGGTGCAAACCAGCTTATTGAAGACCTTATATAAACAGGTTCAAATCATAGTTCATTTGTTGCTGTTTGGACTTTGGCCTGATTAGAGAATTAAATATCCATAGCAATTATGAGGATCCTTTCTTTAGAATCCAGAGTATAATATGTAACTGTGAATAGGGATGTGATTTCATATACTATACCTGGGTATTTACTGTTTGTTTGAGCTTCATCTGATCCTGGTCCATACCTTCCATGAGAGAGAGAGAGAGAGAGAGAGAGAGAGAGAGAGAGAGAGAGAGCGCGTCTGAAATGCTGAGTAGGGCAAAAGCGGGGACAAGTTGGATAGTTGGAGGGGTGGGGGAGTCAATAGGGAATGCAGATACAAAACATTGGGATTTCAGCTTTCTTGATAGGGACTCAGGCTCTACAGACAAAAGCCACTCATTGCCTTGATCTGGGTACTCAGTTGTGTTTTTCCCCCCTAGCAGCTCAAGCATCATCTTCAACAGTGCCCAAAACAGAAGACCAGCGCCCTCAGTTAGGTATGTCTACCTGCAGCTATTCCCCATTGGTATAAATCTCATAAAGGGGCCATTTTGGGGGTGTGGGGAGGGATTGGACAGGGCAAAAAGAGACTTATACCTATTCCAAACCACTTTCAGCTCAGTCACATGACCTATCACACGGTATAAGGCAAACTCCTCCAAGTTCCATCTGAACATAGTTTAGAATGGGGTAACTTGAGCTTTCTTATAAGTTAACCAACTTTCTATAGATAAGATTGTTCTGCCAGATGCAGCTCTATCTATCTTTAGCCAGTCAACATAATTCAAGATTAGTTTTGCATTGTAATATAGTTTAAAACAAAGATCTGTGTAGCATGTATTTCTTTTAATCAATATAAAATCCCTTATTTTTGCAAAATGTGCCAAAGCTGCTTAACCAGATTCTGATTAT